ATGGAAAAAGGAAAAACTCTTATACAGCATACATCAAGCCAAACTTGCATCGATCTAATTTAAGAGTGGTGACTTCAGCACTGGTTACTAAGGTAGTGTCATATAAACGTCTAACACAGTTTTAAAACTTCGAATCTCTATGGGTTTGTACTTTAAACACCTGGATTTTCACTGAAAATACTCGGAATAACACGGGATTTTATGCAGATTTTAGTTAAAACTGCCAGCGAGTAGCACTAGAAGAGACGTGCCCACCTGTGACGGAGTAGATAAAACCACAGAACACCAGTAATTGATCGCGAGTTTGCGCCTGATTCAACAGGCTGGCTGAGTAGGCTTTTCGAGTTTTCAACGTGGGGTTAATGCAAGGACCACTCATAATGGCTTGATAAAAAACGCCTCTCTTAGTGCCCATGGGGCAGAAATTAAATTGTATTTCCGTAAAAACCACGTGTTTAAAGTCAAAATTTACCGAGATGAATTTTTAAAAGTTGTGTTTGACGTTGGTATTGCCTTCTATATATTCCATATTTATAAGAAGGCCCTAAATTTTCCAAATTTGTTCTTTAATTAGATATTAATAGATGAATTTAAAGAAGCGAAAGGAGTGAGTTACGAATATTTTAACGTTATAAAAATAGTATACGCTAGAAAAGAAATAATCATCTCTGCCGGAACAGTTAACACTGCAAAACTGCTTATGCTGTCTGGAATAGGGCCTCGCCAGCACTTACACGAATTAGGAGTAAGTAGAAATGGGTAAAAAGTAGATATAAATTTTTTATTTCTTGTATTAATAATCTAAATAAGTTGCCTGTTTTTAGATTCCAGTCGTAGCCGATTTGCCTGTCGGAAAGAATTTTCATGACCATGTCACCACTTCTGTCATTTTTACAATAGATAAACCATATTCTTTACACGCGCTATCACTCACGCCAAAAGATATTACGGACTATAAAGTTCATGGAAGATGTAGGATTTTCAATAGTTATAAATTTATAAATACGGGATGGCCCATCAACTGAACCATCAGTTACATATACAAATCTTACTCAAATTGGTGTTTAGAGCCAGATTACAATATGTGAAATTGGACGTATATTGAAAACATTGTAACAAAAGATATTTGAGAAAGATTTGTATATCTGTTATAATAAGCTTGGTAGGACATCCTGTGACATATCTTATTAACTTTTATCTAAATTACAGGTCGTTTGACTTCCTTAGCTGGGGTGGAAGTCTTAGGATTCTTGAGGACTTCCGTAGAAAAGGAAGGTTGGTCGGATATTTTAGTTGCCATTGCTGCAAATTCATTATTATCTGATACAGGTTTGCCTCTTCTTACACCTCAAGTGGGTCTTAGAAAAGATGTAAGTGTTTTTAAATTATCTTTTTTTTGAAAAATTATATACAGAAAGTCCGAAAGACAGTTAACTGTGTAAATCTCTCAAACATGGTATCAAATATTACAGGTATACGTCAATGCATTTAGCAGGTATAAATTCAAACATACTATTTCCTGTACCCCAATTTTTGTACGTCCGAAAAGTCGCGGTATCGTTAAATTGAAGTCTGACGATCCCTTTGATCAGCCCATAATTAATACCAACTATTTTGCCAAAATAGAAGATCTCCTGTCTTTGATAGAAGGTAGGGACCTGAATTCTTTACTGTATTTTAGTCAATTGTCTTACAAATTATACATTGTAGGTGTGAAATTCTGCAAAGCCTTCGGGAGGACACATTCCATGAGAGAAGTTGGGACGAAGGAAATTAAATCTGTATTCCCTATGTGTGATCATTTCCCTTACAACAGCGACGAATACTTGGCGTGTGTGTTAAGAGTATTCACAGGTAGCCTTTACCACGGTAGCGGTACTTGTAAGATGGGCGATCCTTACGATCCTAGGACAGTTGTAGATCCAAGTCTAAGGTAAGAAGAAACTTGGATTTATGAAGAACATTTTGTATTAAAATTAATTAATCACACATTATTATTTTAGAGTAAAAGGCATAAGGAATTTGAGAGTGGCAGATTGTTCGGTGATGCCTACTCTAGTGGCAGGATTGCCTCATGCAACGGCTGTCATAATTGGAGAAAAGGCAGCGGATTTAATTCGTCTTGAACCTTATAGTTGACCTTTACAGATTTTAATTGTTTTATTCTCCTTTATTGTTTGCATGTAAAGTATACAGATTAACCTAAACAGTCACCAATCTATGTGTAGTCAAAATATAATTTGTATATTCGGAACCATTTTAAGATTTTATGAGGCCTCTAGCTCAATTTTTACAGGCATCACACGATTACATTGGAATCCGGTTATTATAATCATAGATAATGTTATCAATCGGCTCCAATCGATCCCAAAACACTATATAAGAGTAATCCGCCTATTACAATCATACTTCGGCTATTGTTATCACTGTATATGTATGTATACAGTGATAAGTGAGTATGTATGTATGTATATATATGTATACACTGGGGATATTCGTACACATTCGTACTGTATTTATTAGCAATAAACTGTACTGTATTCAATAATAAATATTGTTATCCTTTGTTTAATATTATCCGCCGGTTATTGTTATCAAAGTTGCAAGTCTTATAATGGATTTCTTTGTATTAATTGGTCGTTGGTCGCGGGTTTGTGCCTAATTAAGGGGAGTTTTCCGGGTTTACTTCACGTGTCTAACACCTAAATAAGGGCCAGTTTTTCCATAAAAGTCCTCCGTCCCTTCACAAATTGATGGAATAAGGTAACGCAACACCCTGGCAATCCAGTCAAAATAAGGCAGCAATTTAACCTATACACGGGTTAAGTGACTTTTGGGTCTCTCTGTGGTGCGACCCAAAAGTCAGTTAACTATTAATTAGCATTCGTATACTTAAATAATTATGAAAAAGTATCAAATAAAAATGTTTATCCTAATTTAAATACCTCTTTTTCCCCCTAAGAGTCAAATTATAGTATAATTTTACAATTAAGAAAACGTTTATATGTTAATTATAAGTCTGCAAAAGTTTATATAATCGTCAACAGATGGCATTGAGATCGATTTCTCTTGTACACTGTTGCCAGATTTTCTTTTATTTTAAAAACGAGTGGTAAATTTACTCTGTTCCTTACAGAATAATTTTGAGACATATTTTATGACATTTTACCATCGTTTTATTGCATTAAAATGAGTATAATTTATGTTAATTACGAAATTCTAAATTCCTAAAAATATATTATATAATAAAATTGACTTTTGGGTCATGTTCTCTTTTACATAATTCAAAAATCCATTTAGAGATTTAAATATAATATAAATAAGTCACGGTCTAAGATACCTTTAGAATTACAAAGGACACGGGTCATCACATTAGAAATCACTTTGTAATGTTACAAACTGGATATTTCTTGACCCCACTGCGGGTCAGACCGGCCTCTAATGCGTATAATTATTATGATTATTCAAACATTAGGATTGTTTTTAATACAGGGTAATTCAAAATACCTGTGATTCCCATAACAACAGGCGTGTTAGCGTGTGTTAGTCATAGATAGGAGGGATGTATTCGTTTGAACATTTAGTAGCGAAATGGTGCTCAAATAGATCGTATTCTATGTAATTGAATTGGCATTAGATTCTATGTAATGGCAAGCAGTTAAGGAGTCAGAATGCCGCTCCTTAACATTTAAATAGTGTTACAAACATGAAGAAAATCCGGAAAACTCCACGCGGTCAACCCATAGTCGAGGCATGAACTCACCGGAATTCAGTTGTTTTATCCAATCGGCCAATATGGGTCCTTAAGAAGAACAAAATAAATTATCATTGAAAAAAAAATTCCATAAAGTCTTTAACGAGAGCCATGTCTATTATTATAAACGGAAATTATGGCCCTAATCGTTTCCATTATCATCATTACAATCGCTTTTTCCCGCTTATAATATACTTATCACGCATATTACGAAGGTTGTTTACATTAGAACATTCATGATTCTTGCTACCTGCAAATTAGTGACTGAAATGCCATTTTACAAGATGTGATTTAAGTAAATAAGTGTAATTTCTTGCTCGTGACAAAGAAATTTTAATGCTAAATTCGGGAATGATTTTATAACAAAGTACTAGCATTGAACGTTCGAGTAATGATTCTTCTATTAAATATAACTGTGTTTATATATAAGCTTGAGAGGGCCTCGCTACACTTTAGGGCCTACTCAAAAGTCCAGCACTATAAGAAGACAGTATAGGATCCAGTACGTGGCAATTGGGCCAATCGTGTACTGTTACACGAGTTTAAAATCTTCACTCCTAGAAAGGGTCCTGAGAAAGGCCCTCGTATGTACTAAAGATTAGGATCACAAGTCTAAATCAGGCTCTGAATATGGCACAGAGGGTTAACAGATTTCTTCCTTTCCAATAAGCAAAAAAAGGGGCTAAAAATAATAATAATAAGTAAATTTGCCCAACAGTAACTTCACGAATCACAATTTCTCGTGTATTAGCTATTATGTTAATTAGAACTGACTAAATAGGAACTTATAAAACAATAGATGAACCTTGACAACGTAACCCCATTAACTCGAAATAACTAATAATAATCAATTTTACGAAGGAAAAAAAAATAATAAATATATAAAATTATCTTCTTTACTGTTTAAATGTTTTAGCCATTTTTTTCTCCATAACTTTTGATGGCACGCTGAGTTGCCATTGTCGTATCAAATATGTCATTGTATGCCCTTGTACTTTAATGGTATAGAAGGATCTACCAATGGAGTCCTCCTGGGTATCATTACATCGAGAGGGAATCCTCCTGGGTAACATTACATCAAGAGGGAATCCTCCTGGGTAACATTACATCAAGAGGGAATCCNAGGACTTTCTACGGGAAATTGGGCCCTGTTAAGGTGTTAGACACGTGGCCGAAAATCAGGAGAGTTCTAGGACGACATGGAGATATGCTCCTGAAGGATTTTCTATAGAAAATTGGGCTCTAAACATGGTAAAACTCCACGCAGCCAGGCTCGAATCCGATACTAGTAGTGTTTATTGGTTTCATCCATTACGAAGGCACACTAAATAATGATTTAAATAACGATAGATTTAAAAAACTAGGCCTTAGCCTAGAGTGAAGAACCCCCTAAGTTGGGGTCCGCGTAAGAATCGAATTTAACACACTTTTCCTATTTTTTTATGAAAAAAATGAATACGAAGATCGTATAAAATAGTTCAAGTATGACATGTCGATTATAGAACAGGGCCTGAAGAAATTATTTGGAGGTGGGGGGGAATTCTTAAACTCATTTATCGTAATAAATAGTTTGCACGGGAATAATCCCAAAGAATCCACGTGTTTTAATGTATTCGATAGGCTTTTTAGTCTGCTTCTGCCTTCAATTTTCTTCGTCTAAACATGAAGTTTATGACTACATCGTGGGTGAGTTTCATTTATTTTATTATAAATTCTCATCTATTATATTACATACAATACAATCTTGTATCAAAGTGTATCTACGGATCGTTCGAGAAAGAAATGACTCGAGTTCTTTATGATTCTGTTGAAAGGAAGCCCCATTTACCACACACCAAACGAGCTGTATCGTAGGGCCTGGCCTTTTAAATTTATTATTTAATGTAAGGCCCCGTTATTAAGGCGTATGTTTATAAGTCTAAATCTTTAAAAAACACCTCAAATTAAATATGGTATCTTTAATTCGTCTTAATAGGAATCTTATAATTTATCTTAATAGGAATCTTAAGATTCCTATTAAGATAAATTATGAACTAGTAACGTTAATGATTAGCTTTTGTGTAATTTTGTATAGTAATACCTGTAAATAACCCTCCGAATAACGGCCATCTATTAAAATGGCCGTTATTCGGAGGTAGTTTTGTATGCATTTCATAAAGAAATGTTCCATTAAAACACGTCAGATATAGCCGAACCCTCTAACAGCGGCCACCTGTAAACTGATATTTAGAAGGCCTCCTTTCCTTATTCCCTTCAGCTTCTAGAGAAGAAGGAAAGGAGGCCCTCTAAAGAAGTTGAAGGAGATTGAAAGGAGGTCCTCTACCTTTTGCCCATCTGACTAAGGCACCCATCAGTGGCCGAGTGGATAAAACTACTGAACGTTGGTCGTTGGTCGTTGTTTCACGCCTCTCCAAGGTGCGGTTAACCGGGTTTTCTTTACGTTTGTAACACCTAAATAGGGGCCAATTTCCCATAAAAGACCACCAGGGAGGCAGATCGTCCGTCGTGCTGCTGTATTGGAATAAAATCTAAATTTGACTAAGTTCCGAGCCATTTATCTTTACGAGGGCCCCAGCAGACTCAAAAAAATCGGCAATATTTCGCATTTACGGGGGCCTCGACAATTGTTACAAATAATTCATTCTACTGTATTTGTTGTTACGTTAATTTGACAAAATATAAAGGTGTTTCTTTATTACTGATTCGATGATTTAATATAATTGAGGCCTCGGGAAGGTGATTCGGGCCTCTCTTGGCCTTCGAAAGGCCATGCGTGAATAGAAGAACGTATACAACTAACGCGAGGTAGCCTAGATGCGGGCATTGTTCGTAATACACTGAATGTAAGGAAAGCCAGCGGGATGCAAAAGGGGCAATCCTGGCATCCCTGCATCTTGCCCATAGTATAAAGGATGCCTTTATGTGTGTGCGATCCAATTCCTGTTATAAAGTTCTTAATAGAACTGATCAATTTCGTGTTATAGAGACTTGTACCTGTATGATCTTTATGTAAATCCGTATCGTTTAACTTTATCCTTGAGGAATGAGGTCATATGTCATCTATACTGTCAATTATATTATTTTCTGTATGTATTATCCCCGCTAACAGAGCGTATCAATTTTTCCTCTAGTAGATTAATCCCTCCCTCGCTCGAACTTCCGAAAAGCTTTTAATTAAAATTTAATAAAAGAAACACTATAAAATAAAAGGCCCGAATTCATTCGACTGACGTTAACGTAAAGGTCAATTCTTAGAGAGAGGCCCTACCGTAAACGGTGTAAAATTCCTATAAGCATTTGTTACAAATGCTTTCAACGGTCACGTAAGGGGGAGACCTCAAAAATATACGAAAATCTATGGAAATTAATTAAGTTCAAATTTTTTAGTTCATAAACTGCGTAAAGAACACTTGGAATAAGTAGGTGACACGTAGTTAACAGAGCGTTTAAAGTGACAGTACATTTATGCATCATTTTAATCTGCAAGCTTTTACGTATTGTGGAGGAATGCCAAAAAAAGTGTCAAAGGGTCAAAGTTCTCGTGTTTCCTAATTTATATCCATAGGAAGTGGGTTCCGTTTCCGGGAGTACACCCTCTAGTATCGAGAGTAGGCACTAGATGCCGNCTGGAGGTTCGGCCGTATCCCCGATAATAATTTAAATGCTGTAAATAGTATTACTATGTAACTAATTGGCGATATCAATCTATAGCCTATGGCATTGCTAACCTGTTTTACAGGTTGCCTTTTTTGCAACCTGTTAATTAATAACTACGTTTAGCAGACTAACAGTTGTAATTGAACAGAGATAAAGCTACCAGAAGGAAGGGAAAATACTAAACGTGACGTAAATATCAGGTCAGTCCGTAAGTTCGTGCGTATTCTATGACCTTGAGAAAAATCTTGTTTTGCTGTTAAAAATGCCAGTGTAATGTGATACTTTTTACACTGAAGTGTTAAATTGGATCTCATTCATATAATACTGTTCAGAATTGGGAACATTTCAGTTTGTTTATTTTCGTTAAAATGGAAGTAACAGATGAATATAAGAGA